GTAAGGATTCGATGAGGTAATATGTGTAAAGGGCCTGGCATTTAGAACGGGCCACAGATCACCAACTGTGTGATTTGGGGCAAGACTTTTTTAAAAAATGAAAACTTCTCTAAGCCTCAGTTTCCCTAACTGTACCTATCCCTCAGGGTTGTTGCATTAAAAGAGTTAATTAGTGTAAGATTCCTAGCCCTGCACCCAATCCATAGTAAGAATTAAACACTTATTGGGTAGGCCAGATGTGGTGGCTCACGCCTATAATCCTAGCACTCTGGGAGGCTGAGGCAGGAGGATTGCTCAAGGTCAGGAGTTCGAAACCAGACTGAGGAAGAGTGAGATCCCGTCTCTACAAAAAATAGAAAGAAATTAATTGGCCAACTGAAAATATAGAAAAACTTAGCCGAGCATGGTGGCACATGCCTGTGGTCCCAGCTACTCGGGAGGCTGAGGCAGGATTGCTTGAGCCCAGGAGTTTGAGGTTGCTGTGAGCTAGGCTGACGCCACGGCACTCTAGCCCAGGTGACGCAGTGAGACTCTGTCTCAAAAAAAAAAAAAAAGACTCTTATCTTCCTAGTTATCCTGTTGCCTACTCTACTTTGGACAGAGGAAAGCCCCCTCTGCCATCCCAGTGGATGTGACCACTTCTTACTCACCACTCACACTGTGCCTCTGTGGCCATCTAGTGGGCACACAGTTTTGTCTTCTTTCCTCCCCAGTCCCCTGTTGTAAAATGGTGGCCTGACTTCACTGTTCTGACCAGTCAGGGGCCTGGCGTGGGTTCCTGTCTCTTTGGTTTACCATCAGCTGGCAAGGCTTGTAGAAACCTCCATGCAAATGTGCAAACCCGGGTACAAAAGCCTGCCTAACTCTTAGTTTTCTCATTCATAAGTGGGGCTAATAGTTGTGCCCATCTCTAGGATTATTGTGACTACAGTACCATGCAAGGCGATGAGCGTAACATGAGTAGCAAGTGCCTGGCAAAGAGTGGGTGTTGTAGCTACCACTTACTCACCCTTTGCTGGTTTCTGTACCAGGGTTTGTGCACTTCCGTGGAGGCTGCTGCAAGCCTTGCCGACTGGGGGTAACCCAAAAACCCAGAAACCAAAACCAGTTTCCTAATGGGTCAAAACAGTGAACTCAGGTCACCTAACAACCTTGTTTGGAAGGAGGATTGGCCACCATTTTAAAACAGGGAACCAGGGACCGGATGCGGTGGCTCACGCCTGTAATCCTAGCACTCTGGGAGGCCGAGGCAGGAGGATCACTCAGGGTCAGGAGTTCGAGACCAGCCAGGGCAAAAGCGAGACCCCGTCTCTACTACAAATAGACACAAATTATCTGCACAACTAAAAATATAGAAAAAATTAGCCGGGCATGGTGGTGCATGCCTGTAGTCCCAGCTACTCGGGAGGCTGAGGCAGAAGGATCGCTTGAGCCCAGGAGTTTGAGGTTGCTGTGAGCTAGGCTGATGCCACGGCACTCTAGCGCAGGCAACAGAGTGAGACTCTGTCTCAAAAAAAACCCCAAACAACAAAAAACAGGGAACCAGGGAGGAAAGGAGACGACATATCTACCCACTAGACAGTCACGCAGTACTGGTGCCAGGAGGGGGTGCAAGGTGGGGGTTGGCAACACCTGCTGGGTAGGGCATGGTGCTTTCTATGTCCAGAGGCAGAGGAGAATAGGCAGCTATTTTAATGAGCATGTGCTGTGTGGGGTGGAGGCGTGATATAATAAAGAACCACAGAGGTTGCAGTGAAACGGTTAAGAGCAGAGAGCTGACCTTGACACTGAGGAGGTAGGCCTATGAATAGAGCCAAGCATGTGGCAGATATGGAATTTGAACCCAGGTATTTCTGCTTCCAAAGCCCATGCTCTTAATCATTACAAAATTAATGCCTGGTACATAGTAAGTGCCCAATAAAAATTTGTTTAATGAAGGAATTTATACTACTGCCTGTTTCTGGAAGCTTTTCTCCCTCCATCTCTTGCGTGCCTATCTTTCAAGGCCCAGCTCAAATGCAGCCTCACCCTAGCAACATGCCCTCTCACCGTTGCCGTTGGGTGGGGGAAACAAGAGGAAATCAGTGCTGGGCCACTGAGATGGGACAGCTAGGTCGAGCTGGAGGAAGGACTCTGAGTTTTGCAGAGAGATTTTTCTCCTGAATTTGTGCACTAGAGTTGAAGCTGGTACAAGGATTGGATACATCGGTGACAAAGTAACTCACACTGGGCTCTGATTAGTCAGAACAGTGTATTCCAGTCACTTAGCAACCACGTATGGGGAGGAGGATTGGAAGCCATTTCAGGACAAGGGACTGGGAGGAAAGTCAGACAAAATGTCTGCCCAGTAAACAGCCCCACAGGCGTAGTGAGGGGGAGGGATTGGGAAGTGAGAAGATCTCATTCTGAGTTAAGAATTACTGCTCCAAGGTCATTAAATCCCTGGGGATTTAGGGATTTGTAATTCTATGCTATATAATACCTTAAAACCAAGGATATTGGGATTCCAAGGATTTTAAATCCCTATAACCTATGGTATAAGGATTGGAGCAAGTTTGGAAAGATGAAATGCTGGCAGCTTAGGACCCCAAACAAGGATTTTAAACAGAACACTGGACATTTTAAAGTACGAATTAATCCCCCCTTCGACTTCAGATCAATCCAGGTTTAACACTTGGGACGGTGGTTTCCAAGTTGTCTTTCTCACAATCCGGGCCGGTACCTCACAGAAGGGGGTGGAGAGAGTTGGTTTAAGGCAAAGAGGTCACCAGGGTAGGAATTCTGGGCCCCCTATTGTGGCTTCCACCAGGGTGGCTCCATTTTTACTTGATTTGTATATTGGGCTTCTGCATGTAATTCAAAAAGATGAGTTTTCTGGCTAAAGCACAAAAAACTAAGTTTTAAAACCTCTGTCCTAGGAAAAAAGGGACCTAAAACCTGTGAGCTACCATTCGAATGTAAAGAGTGGTCCAGGAAGCCACACTTGACCTCTGTTTTTTGTTTTGTTTGGGTTTGTCGTTGTTCTTGTTTGTTTGTTTTTAATGAGAACAGACACCACAAAAGCCCATCAAATGGTGCCAGGGAGATCAAGAGGAGATGACTGATTAATCAGTCGTTAGTTGGCTAAATAAATCATTAGCTGACTCTAGCCTATATGCTCATTTCTTTTATAAAGTCGATAATAGCAGCTACTATGACTACTATTACTATGCCTAGTGTTTATTGAGTGCTTTTATGACATGCCAGGGGCTATGCTAAGTACTTTACATATATTAATTCATTGAATTGTCACAACCACCCTGAGAGGAAGTATCATTATTAATCCCGTTTTACAGATGCAGAGACTGAGGCTCACAGTGGCTAAGTAACTGGCCCAGGGTCATACAACTGGGCCTATGGTATGGTATAGGCCCAGCTATATGGTAAATATGGTAAATTCCACTTTACTTACCAGCAGAAACAGCATGGACTAACGGACTTAAAATAGTCAAAGGTCCACTGCCTGGCAGCCTTAATTAAGGAACAAGGTTACATTTTGACCAATAGATGGCACCAGCGCATGGGTTTGGTGGCCTACTCACGGCTGTGTCCAATTCAGGGAAGTCCCAGCTAGGGCTCAGAACTGTGAGGCAACTTCTCTCAAGTTGGGGAGATGAGGGAAAGAAAGATGGCCATTTTGCTTCTGAATAAGATGGTATTACCCTGTCCCCTTTGTAGCTAAGCTGGGAAGGCGACAAGTGGGGAGACAGTGGTAGTTCTACCAAGAGCTGCTTTAAGAAGACCTGTGAATCTTTTCTCTTTCAACATTTTCTGAGCACCTCCTTTGTGCCAGGCAGGGCGCCATGTTTGATGAAGTCATACGGGAATACCAAACGCGGCCCCATCTCCCTGCACAGGAAGGAGGCAGGTGCCATGGTAGGGGAGGCACTGGTGGCATGGGGCCACCCACACCAGACTTGGGGAGCTGGGGGTGCCTGAGCTAGTTCTGTTGGCTGCATGGGAGTTTACCAGGCATGCAAAAGTGGGAAGGCGTTCCAGACAGAGGTTTAAAGCCACAGGGATGTCAGAAATCATGCCACATGCAAGGGTATGCGGTGTAAGTTTCGAGTGTTGAGAGATGAGTCTGGCGACAGGCACAAAACAGACTGTTGGAAGTCTAGCCAGGCGTCCTCAAACCACGGCCCGCGGGCCACATACGGGCGTTTTCGCCCGTTTGTTTTTTTACTTCAAAATAAGATATGTGCAGTGTGCATAGGAATCTGTTCATAATTTTTTTTAAACTACAGTCCGGCCCTCCAACGGTCTGAGGGACAGTGAACTGGCCCCCTGTTTAAAAAGTTTGAGGACCCCTGGTCTAGGATATCAAGTTAAGGACTTGATTTATGAATACCCAGCACTGTATGTGTGTACACATGCATTTTTCTGGGTAGAGAAGCCATAGATTCTCAAGGGGGTCTGTGACAAAAAAATAAAGTCCGACTATTGGTGAGGCAAGGGCACAACATGGTGTAATCGGTGGTCAGTGTGGAGGGTGAGTTACAAGGGGCATGCTGGGAACAAGATAATCAGTTGGAGAGTAATTGGGGCAGGGTCAGCATGAGGGTCTGAGCTGTTGAGGAATTGAAGAGATGAGATTGTTAGGACTCAGCAGCCCCCTTTTCACATGCACACAATCTTCTCTGAGGCTCAAATGAGGCTGTACCTCTCACCTTGCCCCAACTCCCATTCTTTACTCTCAACATTCAAGCTGCCCTTTGGGAGCCTTTTTGTTCCTTTTCCAAGCTGTCCTTGAAGTTTAATCAAGTGTGATTTCACACGTTAATGGAAAGGACCTGGCCCCATGCTGGGCCCTGCAACCCCCATGGAGAAAAATCTGTGGACTGACCTCAGGTAGAGCAATGAATTGGCCTTGACCTGGTCTCTGACCCTCTGCCCACGGCTTCACAACATGGGCAGAGTTCAGTTAGGAAATCAGCACAGTTCCAAGAAAAAGGCAAACATCCAGTTTATTTTTCCTCTGATTCATCTTACGCCAACACACAGACTACAGTGGACAGTAGGTGAAACAGGGGGCGGGCCCCCAGAGTGGCCTGATTCTGCAGATGGCCCCTTCCCTTCCTGCTAGACCCATGAGAAAGGCACCCCGGCTTTTCTTGGCTCTGGTATTGGTGTTTCTGGAGGCGAAGCCAGAGGTCGGGCATTACATGGGGAGACGGGACCACACGGCCACCTGGGAAGGCTGCAGAGCCCAAAGGCCCGAAGGGGTGACTGCTTCCCCCTGCGAGGGCATGCCCTGTCCTGCTCTGCTTCCTGGGGGCTTCAGAAACCAGGTCTTCCCCCTTCTAGAGCTCCTAGGACCCTCCCGCTGTCAACACAACAGCAGCCCAGACAATGAGATGCCAGAGGCCTGGGCTCACAGGCCAGTCAGGGTGAGCTGGGCAGCTTGAGGACCCAATTTTTCATCCAGAAAGCTGTTCCCGGAGACTCCTGGCTGATCGATGCCCATGGAAACCTGCCAGGCGTACTGCTGCCTCAGTTCGGACAGGGCAGGGGCAGGGAAGGGGGATGAGCTGTGGCCTTGTGTGGTGTGGACCCAGGTACCCTGGCACACTCTTCTGGCCCCTTTTCATCTGCCTCCTCTTCCTCCTCTTCTTCTTCCTCCTCGTCTTCGCTGTCTGAGTCCTCATACAGGTTGATGGTGGCCTGGACAGGGAAGTTCTGCAGTAAGATCTCCCCGTCACTGTACAAGTAGTCAAAGGAGCGGGATTTAGGCCAGAAGAGCCTGTGGACAGAGAAGAGACATGGGCCTAACTTAGACGAGGCCTCATGTGTGCAGAGGAGCCAGTAGGGCCAGGAACAAAGCTGACCCCTCAACCCAGCTGCAGTAATGAGGTCAGAAGGAAAGAAAGGGCAAGCTTTGTAACAGAACCTTCTGAATTGTTACAAATAGCCCCAGGCAGGCAGGTGACCCCTGGTGGGCCTATAGCTGTCGGGGTGCCCCAGCCCCAGCACCTCTCAATTTTGGCCCTGAACCCCCCCTCGCCCACCTCCCAGCCCACCCCAGGAGGCTTCTAGCCAAGCATTCGTCAGCTCTGTTGTCCCATATCCTTCTAAGGATTCCTTCACTGTCCCAACCACAAGGCCTCATTCTTGGGGGTCATGACACTGCTTCCAGGGAAAGCAACCTTGGCCAGGTCCCTTAACCTCTCTGGGTTTCAGTTTTCTCCTCTGTGAACAGCAATCATAGCAGTGCCTCCCTTCTGCGCCACAAGACTGTTAGGAGGATCCAAAGAGCTAACGGACTCATGTCAGATTTGGAGCTTGGTGCCAGAAGCTTACCTGACAGGGTGATGGAACTCGGAGTCAGCCTTGGTGACCTCCGCAGCTGTTGCCCCACCAGCCGCCTGTCCAAAGCAAAAGCTAGCATGTGGCTCAAAGTACACGGCCAGATAACCTCCTCCTCCATATCAGAGGTTGCAAACCCACAGGCAAGACGATCTAGAAGATACCTTACACATCTCTGGGGTCCACCTGCCCCCCCCCAACACCCACTTCACAACAGGGGGGTCTCTCTTGGTTCTGTTTGAAAAACAAGTGGACAGAGTCCTGGGGGTTGTTTGCTTTCTGCCCCTGTTCCAACACCTGCTTGGAGACTGGCCAGGGGACAGAGTTCTACTGGAGCAGCAAAGATTCAGGGAGGGGGTGGGAGAGCACGAGGGCAATGTGCCAAGAGGCTGAGAGTCGAGAAGCAGTGCCCCACGCTGGCTGTGGGGCCCAAATCCCCTGCCCACTGTGAGCCTCAACCTCTTCATCTTCCCAATTGCCACGGAAACCTCAGATGCGCCCTCCTCCCAGGGCTGCAGTGGGAATCGAATATCAGCAAAGCTGTGAGGATGCTTTCCCAGATCTGCAGCCCTGGATTGAGGTCGAGGGGCTCTCTGGGAAGGGACCTGACCAGTGTGAATGCATGTGGCTGCATGTCCATGTGAATATGTGTCACCTGGGCGCGAACTCACCAAATCCACCAGCTTCCTCACCTGCCTTGGAGGGTCATTTGTGGAGGACAGCCAGGGCCTCCAGTGACAAGCTCCTCTAGGACAAAGAGGAGAGAGGTCAGTCCATGGAGGAAGGGACTGAAACATGGCCCCCTGAGATAATAAAAGAGGGCTCCCCAAGGCCTGGCTCAAGTGCCATCTGCTCCAGGAAGCCTTTCCCAAGGCCCCTGAGCCCAGGCCAGGCCAGATGCCCCTCCTCTCGGGCTCGGCCATGTTATCATTACTCTTATCACCCTGTTTTGTAATTGTCTGTTTACTTGTCTTTGGGCTCCTTAAGCTCAAAGATATGTTTGATCCGTATCTGGATCCCCAACACCTAGCACAATGTCCGCACACAGTAGCTGTTTCAGTCAATGTTTGTTGAAGGTTAAACGTTTGGAGGAATGAATGGGAGTGAGGCAGAAAATGTCTTGCCTCCTACATGTGGCTTTAAGAAGTAGAGCTCAGAGGCCTACCATCTTCCCGGGCTGGGGAAAAGGGCCAGAAATATTCCTGCACCTACTGTGTCCCCACTGGACTTGGAGGGGCAGTAAACGAGCAAATGGGAACATGATGGTGTCTGGAAAAAAGCAATGCCCCAGTCAAGGGCCTCTTTAGACTTTGGCCCTCTTCCCCCACACCCTCACCGCTGCGGTCCAGGTCATGTTAAGCCCAGGTTCCATGGCATTCTCCTTGTGTTGCCTCAGTGGGCTCAGCAGCCTGGCACAGGAGGGACTGGCTGCTTGGCCTTCAGCTTTGGCAATGCTTACTGTCCCCAAGTCCCCTCCTGCCACCCAGAGAGGTCACTGAGGTGAAAAGCCAGTGAGATATTCCAGCCAGAAATGTAAACGGAGGGCTACGAGGCCACTGTTTTCCCCCTTCACAGCGAAAAAGCATGCTCTGAAAGCCTCATGTCACTTCCTCTCCCAGGAAGCCCTCAAGCCTCAGTTCAGGCTGCCAAAGACCAAGTTCCACTTACCTTTCACTCCCGTCCACTTCTTGTCCAGAGGAGAGCAGGGGCGTTGGGCTAAATAGGCCAGGGAGTGCCAGGGGGGCTTGCGCGAGGGCCAGGGCTGGGCCGGGGGTGACAGCGGTATGAGTGGCAGAGTCCATCCTTAGGGGGCCAAGGCCAGGCAGGCTGTGGGGTCTCCTATTTCCCAGAACCTTCCACACTCTTTTGGCCTTTTCTGGGAGACCCTTTTATAAGCCCTGGCTGGACTCATAAATTATTCAGGGAGTACAAGGGTGGGGGGACTTGGGCGGGGAGATGAAGATGTAGGGAAGGGGGTCAGGGAGGGGGAGCTGGGTTCCTGGGTGTGAAATCTCTCCCAGTTGAATCAACAGGGTGTCAGTGGGAGGCGAGGGGTTTGCTTTAACTCCAAGTCAGAAAGAAAAACACAGAAGGGACAAATTGCACACCATTTGTGTGAATTCCCCAGGCAGTAGCAAGGCCCAAGGGGGGAAGGAGGGGAGCTCATTAGCACCCGACACTACAGAGTTATCAGGGACACAGGGCTGGACGGACAGGCCTTTGGCAAAGCCAGTTCCCAGAAAGGAGAGACAGCTGACCCCACTAAGGAGAGCGAAGGACTCACAGGTTATTTCAGTTCAAACCCCAAATAGGTTTGCAGGGCTGGCCCTGATGTAAGATGGCCGCCATTAAGCTCATCATCCGGGTTAGGGAAAAAAAGGGGTTCTGGGTAGAGTAGGCCCAGTTGCTTGTGGGGCCAACCTCGAGTCTTTCTGCAGTGCTCCCCCCACCCCTTACTGGTCAGTTCCTTTGCAAAAGTGCCCTCTCCAGCCTCAGCAGGAAGTGGTCCGGTGGAGGAGAGCAGGCAGGCTTCCTAGGGTCTCCAGGGCAGATCCCAAATCTCACAGTTCAGCTTCCATCTCGGGAGCCAGGGTGCTGGGGACAGGCAGAGTTCTATTGGGCCACTAAGCTGCTGAAGGACCTTCCCCAGCCCCAGGCCTCAGTTGAGAGACCACGGTGCTGGCCCAGTGGTCCCAAAGGGCCCTGCTGGTCAGAACACTCCTGGTGGGGGCTGAGTAAATGGGTACTGACCCCAGGCGAGCCCAGAGGCTTGAGCACAGTCCTCGGCCTTAGCCAGCATTCTGGGCCTTGGCCAAAAAGCTTCCAGTTACAATCACTGGCAGGTGTCTCACGCTTTAGAGGTCTCGAAACTGTTCCTCCTGACCTCAGTGTCCAGCGCCAGCACAGATTTAGCTTCTTGGACATTCATCACAGCGTGATTTGTAATCATCAAAAATTAGAAACAACCCCAATGTCCAATAATAGGACATCAGTGACATTAATTAATCCTTGCACCTGAATACTAAGCAAGTGCTCACAATCATGTTCTAGGAAGTCTAATTGTTAACCCTGAAAGTGAAGAAAAAAAAATCAGATGCTAAAATAGTAGGAATCATTTAAAGGTTCCTCTTTTCTCTGTTCACATAACCCCCAACCTCTGCCCCACTTCAAATTCCAGCCCCGCCATGTCCTTTGCAGGAAAGAAAAATTGCAAATGACCTAAATGTCTCACTTTTAAAAGCTGAATAAATAAATCGTTGAGCGGCTACACAATTTCATATTAAATTTGGCATGGTAGGAGAATGAGGGAAAAGTTAAGATATCGAAGAGTGGAAAAAAATAAGCCTCTGAAATATTACTTAGAGGACGATCCCATTTTGGTAAGAAAAAAAGTGTAGAATGTTCAGTATGCTGAGAAAAAAAGACTGGTGAGAAGAAAGAATGTTACAGTTGTCATTTCTGGGAGTAAGAATAGGGTGGATTTTGACTTCTTTATGCTTTTCAGAATCTTCTAAAAAGTTCCACAATGAACTGATATTATGTATTTGAGCAATAAAAAGTAAAGATACATAAAAATAAAAAGAAACAAAGGAAGAAGTGCTTATCTGAGGAGGAGAGAAAACTCTGGAGGAAATGACAACCACTTTCAAATATCTGAAGATTAGACTGCAATGAGATTATACTTGTTCTGGGTGACTTCAAAGGGCAGGCCCCGAGCTCCATGGCTGGAAGCTACAGGGAGACACATTTTGGCTCAATCAAAGGAAAACTTTCTAACAGCTCAGCCACCACCTAACCTGAGGGCCTGGCACCTCACTGGCCCTCAATAAACAGAGGTTTATTATATGAGGTGAAATGAGTTCAGTGGAATGTGCTGTCTTGGACTGGGGCGAGTTCTCTGTCCCTGAATTTTGTAAGTACAGGCTGGATCTTGGATCCTAAAGAGGGAAATCTTGGCGGCCAAGGGAGGGTTGCTGGAGAGCCTGGGCTTCTATCGGCCTCTGAGAGTTCTGGCTAAATTTATCATCAGGAAATGAGAGTTGGCTTGTACTGCCTCACTGGCTAAAATGAGGACTGAGGCCGAGAGAAGGAGCCATGCTGAAGAGACCGGGTTGCAAGGGGATGGCATGTAAAGGACAAAGCACAAAATCTGTTGTCACACTCTAGGATCTTTTTGACCTCTAGTTGGCCTCTGAGAATAGGTAGGAGGGAGGAGGGAAGGGTCAAAGAGGCAGTCATTCCTCCTGAGCGCCCGGGCTCAGCTCAACCAGACTCAGGCCTGCCACCCGTCATGCCACCTCCCAACTTGAACTTGTGTTCCTTCAGTCACTCTCTGCACGATGGCAGCTATCCAGTCCCTTCACTCCCCTGAGCAGCCGGCCACAGGGTTCCCCTTGCACCCAGCTTTCAGCACAGTCTTGGAGCCCAGGGAGCCACCTTCTTTCCGTCCTGTCTCTGTGGCTCTTTGTTCAACGCTCTGTCTTGCTACCTCCTAATTAATCATTGCCTTGGCCTCATTCAGCGCGTGGGGGACGAAGCCACTGGCCCCTGTTGTTGGCCTCTCCCCGGCCTGCAGGGGTCGCTGTTCTTTACACTCCGCACGGAACAGGAATAAGCTAGTCAGCAAGCAGCAGAAAAGGTGTGCGCCAACCGAAATGGAGAGCTTCCTGTCAGGGCAGTTCAGATGTCACTTCTGTTTCCCCTGACAGCCCTAGAGTGCTTCTGGATTTGCCAGACCTTTCTGTGTCTGGGCCAGACACCCTGCATTGCCTACAAGGGGATGGGCCAGGAAGGGGTAAGTGCTGTGGACCCTGCCTCGGGACACTTGCAGCCCAGTGAGGGAGACAAGACTCACTCCACCTCAGCTGCAGCGGGTCCCATCAGCCATCCTTGAGCAGCGTGTTCCCCTGTCAAGGCCCCAGCTCCAGCCTCCATATTATTTCTCTGGGCCACATTCCAAGCTTCCTTCAGTTCCCGACATGCTCCCGCCCCACCCCTCTCCCTTAACGGAACAACCTCTCCTCCTACTTCCCTGAGAAAACAGAGGCCTTCAAGCATGAATTACCTCAGTGCCCTGCCCCACCCCCCAAAAATTGGCCTCTCCGACTTCCTTTCCCTCTAACCCTCCCTTCTCAGGGGACAAGATGCCCCTTTGGTTAAAGGCTAATCCCTTCTCCTGGGCCTTGGACTCATCCACCCTCCCTTTCTGGGCCCTTCCTCCAGACATTCGTTATGCTTCTCCAGGCCAGTTCAGCTTCTCTCTACCCACTCTTTCTCTTCTGATTATAGAACCCCAGTCTCTGTTATCCCCAAAAATAAGCACCCTCCCTTCCCAGACGTGTTCTCTTGCTCCCCTAGTTTGCTCTTTCCCTGATCTCTTTCTCTCTCCCCTCTCTCCTTCCTTCTCTCTTTTCCTTTCTTTTTTTTTCTTTTCCCTCAAATGTGTTGAACATAGTCTACATGCTAGACTTCCACTTTCCCCAGCTTCCCATTTAACACCTCAACCAACTGCAATTTGGCCCCAGCCCCATTAGCTCAGTAGAAGGGCACTGCCAAAGGTCACCAATGAACTCCTAATTGCCAAATTCGATGACCTCCCTGAACCCTGGGTGGCAAAAGACACTATTGGCCAAGTCCTCATTTCTGAAACTCTCCGTCCTCTTTCAGCCGCCATCAGCACTCTTTCCTGGCTTTCCTCCTGCCTCCGGAACCCTTCCTTGTGGTCCCTTTTACTGGCCTCTCTTCCTCTGTCCGGTCCTCAAGTCAGCGGTTCTCAAATTACAGTCCGCAGATCAGGCTGATATGCAGGGATGTTTTCAATGGGTTATGGCAAAAACGAGCAAAACTGTGCTAGGAGAGTTTTTCCATAAGCTCAATTTATTCAGTTATAAAGGACTGTCCTTCATTCTGAGATTATGCCCTTTCTGGTTTTTGGTAGTAAAATAGTCACTCTTTTTCAAAGTGATGGTGAGGATGGATGTTTGTTTCTTTCCTTACTGTTCCTACTTGGCAAAATACAATGTTGGTTTCCCCGTGTCAGTCTCATAAATGTTTATTGCATGAATGAAAGAAAAAGAGTTGTGTTTCCTGATGAAAATTTCCTGATGGGTGTCTCAAACTCATTCCAAAACCAAAATGCTTTTTCTCCTCTACAAACCTGCTCTGTACCTCCCTCGGTGACCAGCATCATAGTGACCCAGTTACTCAAGCTAAAAACACCAGCCACGGAACCCTGTTGACTGTAATCTCCACCATTTCTCACCTTTGCCTCCTCCATGCTTCCCACTCTCCTTCTCGTCTTCAATTCTGGCCTCATCTGTCCTGTCTCACCTATGTTCCCTAAACGGCTTCCTGATATGTCCCCCTGTCCTTGACTTAGCCTTACCAATCCATTCTCCTTGAAGCTGCCCCAAGTGAGCTTTCTAGAACACATAGCTGACTGTGGTCTTCTGCTTATGAACTTCCAGTGCCTATAGGAAATACCCCAAATCTTTTGTGTGACATTTGAAGTCCTTTGCTATCTGAACCCTGACTCTCTGCGGTCTCCTGTTTCCAAAGGCTTTCCATGCGCGTCCACTTCGAGCCCCCTCCCCACTTCACCCCCCCCTCCGGCTTCTAGCTCCAGACTGTGAACAGGCCATTCACGTGCAGTCTTCCCAGGGCTTGGGGACTCTAAAGGTCTAATCCCACCCTGTGTGGGGTTTACCACAAATGAAGGAAAATCAAGGTCACACTTGGGGCAGTGTTTTTCAAACTGTGGGCCACACACTATCAATGGCAGCACTTAAAATCAGTTTTGTAGGTTGCAACCAGCATTTGAGAAAATGAATGGCAAATATAAGAGCGGATCACACGTGGTAAGGATATGAATTGTTCCGTGAAGCTTTTGTTTTCGTCATATGAATATATCTATACAATGTTTCTATATAAAGCCATGCAAAGGCATGTACTGGGTTGTGGTATAAAGTGTATTTCCTTTTTTCTTTTTTGAGACAGAGTCTCACTCTGTTGCCCATGCTAGAGTGCTGTGGCATCAGCCTAGCTCACAGCAACCTCAAACTTCCTGGGCTCAAGATCCTCCTGCCTCAGCCTCCCCAGTAGATGGGACTACAGACAAGTGCCACCATGCCCGGCTAATTTTTTCTATGTATTTTTAGTTGTTCAGCTAATTTCTTTCTATTTTTATAGTAGAGACAGGGGTCTCACTCTTGCTCAGGCTGGTTTCAAACTCCTGACCTTGATCGATCTGCCTGCCTCAGCCTCCCAGAGTGCTAGGATTACAGGTGTGAGCCACCACACCCTGCCTAAAGTGTATTTCCTATTCTGGGTCACAGTCAAAACATTTGATGGCAGTAAAGGGGTTAGTGCAGATGTTACCCTGTGCTCCGTTTAGCTAGTGCTGTTCAGGTCACAGTCCCTAACTCTCAAAATGTTTCTAGTCTCACTGAGGGGTGCAACAAAGGTTAGGAGGAGATGGGATAATGCCAGAAAGACTTCCTGGAGGAGGGGGAGATGGAGCTGCGCTGGGTTTATGGAGGCAGAGAGAAGGGGGAAATGTCATTCGGGCAGGGAGAAGTGGTGCAGAGGCAGATAATAAGAGTAGAGAACATTTGTTAAACATTTATGGGCCAGGCATTGTTCTAAGCACTCTGTGTGGATTAAGTCTCGCAAACAACTCCATGAGGAAGATACTATTCAAAGCTTCAGTTTTATAGATGAGACAAAGTAACTGGCCCAAGATCACGGAGCTAAAAGTCACAAGGCTAGGATTTGAACTCGGGTAGCCTCTGTGCTCCTAAGCACCTCCCTGCCCTGCGCTGGGGGCCGATGTGGAGAGGTGGCTGTGCAGGATGGGCCAGCAGGCAGCGGAGGGAGCAGGACCTGGAATGGCAAGTCGAAAGCCCCAGCAACAGGTTCTGAGCTCACCTTCGGGAAGGAGCTCTTATCCTTTCCCTCCAGCCTCTGCCTTGTGAGCTAGGGCCCCTGGGGCTGGGGACAGGAAGCCTAAGTGCCCAGTGAGGGTGCCAGGGGGAGGCCAGAAACAAGGCAGGGCCTGCTCTGAGGGAGAAGGAAGGGAGAATTTTCTCTCCCTGACCCACGCCTGCCCCCAAAGCAAAAATAGCAAATGGTGCCTGGGGCCTCTGTCCTCAAGTCCAAATGTCCCAAATGTGCCAAATCTTGGACCCAGCCCCTTGGGTTCCTGGGACAGGGGGTCTCCTCTGGAGAACAGTTTGTTGCTGGGTCAGCTCTCCTCCTGCACCCTTTGCCGCTCGGCCTGCCATTTGAGCCAGGGCTCAATGTGGCCCATGTGGCGTGGGCTCTCCTGGCAGAGCCTCTAGCAGCTCCCCATTTGCTTCTCATTTGGACGGCAGAGGCCTAGAAAAACAAAGCTCTGGGGAAGGAGGAGGGCGGGAGGGAGGGTGCCTGGAAAGGTCACCCCCAGCCGAGCTTCTTCCCTTGCCTTTCGGTCCACCCAGCTCCACCCCCCGGCCCATTGGCCACCCTGTCCAGCCCCTCTTCTCTGATGCAGCCTCCTTTTCCAGCCTGGCCTGAGGTCTTGGGGAGATGGAGTTGGTGCTGAATTCTCAGCAGTGCGGTCTTTCCTCTGTCTTTTTAATCTTAGTGTCCTGGCTGATAAGCAACTGGTACCTAGGACATTGGTAACTAGTGGCAGTTCCCTTCCTGGGAGGTGGACCCTGACAAACTCTTTTTTTTTTTTTAAGACAGAGTCTCACTCTGTTGCCCAGGCTAGAGTGCCATGGCATCAGCCTAGCTCACAGCAACCTCAAACTCCTGGGCTCAAGTGATCCTCCTGCCTCAGCCTCCCAAGTAGTTGGGACTACAGGCACGCAACACCATGCCCAGCTAATTTTTTCTGTATATTTTTAGTTGTCCAGCGAATTTCTTTCTATTTTTAGTAGAGACAGGGTCTCACTCTTGCTCAGGCTGGTCTCAAACTCCTGACCTCAAGCAATCCTCCCGCCTTGGCCTCCCAGAGTGCTAGGATTACAGGTGTGAGCCACCACACCCGGCCCCTGACAAACTCTTAACAACAACAACAATAAAAAAAGAATAGCTCACATTTATTGAATGCTTACTGTGTGCCAGGCGCTGTGCTAAGCACTTGATTGCTTTATTATTTTATTTACTCCTTATAAAAACCCTAGGAGATAGGATTATTGCTCCCATTGAAAGATGAGCAGAAAACTGAGGCATGGAGAAGTAAGTGATTTGCCAGGATGAAATAGCTATTGAGAGGTCTGGCTACCACTGCAGCAAATAGCACAGACCATTCTCATTTAATGCCTTAAGGTAGAAAAGCTTGGGCCCTACAGCTGGCTGTGGGTGTTTGGGATAAGAATGTTCCCTACCTTGCAGGGCTGCAGCGAAGATTGAATGAAATAGTGCATAGATTTTGCTTCAAGCCTGACGACTATTTAGCACTGGGTAGATACTGGCTCCTTCGTTTTGAGTATACAGTGGTTATTCAGAGCACAGGCTCTGTAAGCAGGCCTGGCTTGGAATCCTTCCTTGGTCGTTTCCCTCCAGGTGACCTTGGGTGAGTTAATCAATTTCTCAGAGCCTCAATTTCCTGGGGATGAAAATAATAGGCTCACAGGACTAGAGTGAGGATGGAATGAAATACTATCTTGTACATGGGTGTTAGTTCTTTCTGTTCCACACACTTTCGGGGGTTTTTTGAGTACTTGGTTGGATTCAGCTTCCTAAAACCCAGCTTCCATCCCGTTCACACACCTGCATTGGCAGCCCATGACTGATGGGGATAAGTCAGGTGTTCACAGATTTTCCCTATACCCCCAGCCTCCACCTCTGGCTACACCCAGCTCTCCCTGCCACTTCCAGCAGGCCTGTTACTATACTGTCCCTGCAAGTGATCGTCTCCACCCCCCTGCCCAA